GACAGTGTCAGAGAGGCCACACCACGTACAGGGAAGAGAGTTCAGAATTTTTTTCTCAAATCTTAATGTATAATGGACAATTTAATAGAACATGGGAGACAGATTCAATAGCACCCAGGCTACAGGTAAAAGGTAAAGGTCTCCCTTGCTCGAAAGCCAGTCGAGTCCGACTCTAGGGTTGCGGTGCTCATCTCCGTTTCAAAGCTGAAGAGCCAGCGCTGTCCGAAGACATTTCCGTGGTCATGTGGCCGGCATGACTAAACACCAAGGCACACGGAACGCTGTTCCCTTCCCACCGAAGTGGTACCTATTTATCTACTTGCAATTCCTTGCTTTCGAACGGCTAGGTTGGCAGGAGCTGGAACTAGAGACGGGAGCTCACTCCGTCATGCGGCACACTCGGGTCTCGAACTGCTGAACTACCGACCTTCCACAGCCTGCAGTTCAGCGGCTTAACCACTTGAGCCACCGCAGGCTACAGGGGCATCGTCTAATTTCATAGGGGATTTTTTGACATCTTCCGAAGAAGATGGTCGACGGCAGTACGTTACGTCTGGCCAGCATAAATGCCCTTCTTTGATGGGGATCGGTTAAAGAACAGAAATAAGAGGCTATCTGGCCAGATAATTCCAGATGAATTGGAGGGCAAGTTGTCCCAGCCGCCTCAGTCAGGCGCTGAAACTGGATATCTAACAGCCTACGTTTAATTACCTGAAATGAACAGCATTATTAGCCTTATTTAGTTAGGCCAGGGGGTCCCCAACGTGGCGCCCTCTGACCCTTTTCCTGGCGCTCACCAAGTGTCATCAGAAAGTGGCCGGGGTCAGGTGGGGATCTGGCCCAGAAGGGGTTCTAATTGGCCACCGAAGTTCTGATAGGCGGTGCTGGTTAAAACAACACTGCTTTGGCAGCGGCAGCTGCTACTGCGGTAGTGGTTTCATTCTCTCCCACATCCCTCTTTCCTGGTATATCTTTCTTAAAATTACACCTCTTGTCCTATGGAGGCCCTTTTGTGGCTGTGCCCATCAGCCTGTGTCAGAATTACAAAGGTGCCCACAGGCTCAGAAAGGCCGGGGACCAATGTTCCCTCTAAGCTGTAGAGTCTTGAGAGCAAAAATTCTATTTTGTGAGCTACTGGCATTAAAGTTGTGAGTGAGCCATTTGGCTGTAGCATAAATTAGTTTGCTTCCTGAGCTAAGACAAAAATCTGTGAGCTGGAGGCTAAAAAACTGTGAGCTGGCTCACACTAACTCAGCTTAGAGGGAACACGGCCGGGGACCCCGATTTAGGCTTTGATGTAGAATAGAATCATCAAATCACAGAGTTGGAAGGGGCCATAGAGGCCATCTAGTCCAACCCCCTGCCCAGTGCGGGATCAGCCTAGAGCATCCCTGACGAGGGTTTGTCCAGCCGCTGCTTAAAGACTGGCAGTGAGGGGGAGCTCCCCACCTCCCCAGGTGGCCGATTCCACTGTGGCACGACTCTGACTGTTGAAACATTTTACCCAAGATCCAGCTGGTACCTTCCCTGCCCTTCATTAAAACCCATTATTGCGAGTCCTGTCCTCTGCTCCCAGCAGGAACAGCTCCCTTCCCTCCTCTAAGTGACAGCCCTTCAGATACTTAAAGAGAGCAATCATGTCCAGTGTTCCCTCTAAGCTGAGTTAGTGTGAGCTAGCTCACCGTTTTTTAGCTTCCAGCTCACACGTTTTTGTCTTAGCTCAGGAAGGAGGGCTCCAGAGCAAACTAATTTATGCAGCAGCCAAATGGCTCACTCACAACT